CAAGAAGGCAATGGGATGATATATACAAAACCAAGAATCGTGTACCCAGCAAAGCTATCCCTTAAATTAGAATATTTTCGAATAAGCCGAAATTGTAATGTAATGTAAATTGTAATGACCAGACCAACTGCTTAAACCATGTGGGGACCATGTCTGAATTCCCCTGGATTCACACAGGGGGAAGAGAATCAAACTCAAAATCAGTCCAAGGCCAGTTCCTATGAAGTGGAGGTCAGACATGCCTCCACCCTGTTGTTGTTAAGTACCATAGAGTCAGTTTCGACTCATAGGGACCCTGTACTGGGTTTCCAAGGCTGTAAATCTTTATGGGTGCAGAAAGCCTCATCTTTCTCCTGCAGAACAGCTGGTAGTTTTGAACTGCTGACCTTGAGGTTAGCAGCCCAATTCGTAACCACTACGCTACCAGAGCTCTACCCTACAACCTTCTTGATCCTGTTCTGACACCAGCCCTCCCTCCCACAGCACTCTCTGCTTCACATCTGGGTTCGACAGTCCAGTTGCAGTGGCTGCACAGAACTCATAACAATCCTCACAGTTTCAGATTTATTAGGGAAGTGAACAGGGTACAATTCCGGATCAGAAAAACTCACAATGCAGCAGTTTTCCGAGAAAGCCTCTTGTCTGCCTACTGCAGGCATGCCTCACTCTTGTCTTCAGCTTCTCAGCCATGTGGCCTTGCAGCCTCGGGCCAGTGTTACCAAGCTCCCTTAAATGTCCAAAGGGCACATTGTGCAGGCCAGCTTCCCACCACAGGCACACAGCTGTACTCAGTCCATGGGCTAGATGCCGACAGCTGCTCCTCTTTGCCGCCTCTGCCACTGCCTCTGCTGTCTTTGCTTTTCTAGGTAGAGATCTCACACTCCATTCATGCTCTTCCTTCTTGATGGTGCTGAGATGGCTTCTTTTAAACTAGCTGGAGGGCAAAACTAACCAATCAGAATCTTAGAGTCCTGTACACCTTATTTGTTTGTTCCCTCCCAATCACCTGGTGGGACTTAAGATGTTGGCTAGGAAAGCTATTTCTAGTAAATTCAAGGCACCACAGTGATCCTAGGGGTCAGAGTAGAACTGCCACACAGGATTTCCAAGGCTGTAATCTTTATGGAAACAGATGCCAGAGTGCGCCTTAGACGCCAGGATAGCCAGACTTGGTCTCTCATACTTCAGCCATACTATCAGGAGGGACCAGCCCCTGGAGAAGGACATCATGCTCTGTAAAGTGGAGGGTCCCTAACGAGATGGATTGTCACAGTGGCAGCAGCAGTGGGCTCAAGCGTACCAACAATTGTGAGGTTTGCGTAGGATTGGACAGACAGTGTTTCATTCTGTTGTGCATAGGGTCACTCTGCACCTAACAACAACAACCACAGCAGGCCACACTGCACAGAATGGGCATCATACTGTTCTCTAAGCACACCACACTTACATTGGAAGTTTGCCGTGAATTGTGTGATACCTAAGCATTTTTAAATCAAGTAAGAAACTCTAGTGGTGATTTTAGACCAGGAAGAACTAAGGTAATGAAACATTATTTAAAACCTAGAAGTGCCAAAACTAGTTTTTTGTTTTTTTTTTACAAAAGATCAACACCTAAAAAACTGAAAACTGAGTTAAGAATTTCATTTGTGCAGTTAGGAAAAAAACAAACAGAAGAAAAGTTATTAAAAAATAGTAAGAATCAGTGAAATTCAACAAAGATATAAGAAAAGTTCTCTGAAGCCAAAATTGGGTTCTTTGGAAATACAAACATGATAAATAAACCTTTGGGGCACTGGTCACAAGGAAAAAAAACAAAAAATACCATAGTAAATGAAATAAGAATTGCGGTGTTGGTAATTGTCCAAGTTTGGGTGACGGCTACATGGGGGCTTATTATAGTCTTTACTTTTTTGTGTTTCATTTTGTAAATATGAAGTGAAAAGGGGACATTTAACCACAGACACGGTAGAGACTGTTGTAATAATAGGAGACTATTTAGAAGAGCTTCATGGCAATTGATTTAAAAACTAAAATGTACAATCAACCCATGAGAAAACTAGAAAGCAGGGATAGTTCAGTAGCTACTAAAGAAATGAAAACAGTAGCTCTAGAAAATTACAACACTTTTAGTGCGAATGCTACCAAACCTTCAAAGACCAGATTGTGGCCGTCTTCTGGAAACTCTGGAGCCCTGGTGTGGTGCTGTACAATCAGCACTGGACAGCTACCTGTGAGGTCAGCGGTTCAGACTCCTTGGAAACCCTGTGCAGGGTCTCTCTGAGTCGGAACTGATTCAGCAGCACTTAACAACAACGAAGCCGGAAGATTTCAACAGCTCGTGCCCCTTAGGGAATACTCTGCAGTCTGTTTTGTAGGACCAGAATCTGCCAGGGACAATACCAGAAAAAACAAAATGAGGTTTGCCTCCCTTGCGGATTTTAGATGCAATATTCCCAAAAAAAACATAAACCAAATTCAACCCAAAAGGGCAGTAGACCATGGTCAAGCTGCTTTATCCCAAGAAAACAGTCTGTTAATGTTACTGACAGCTAGAAAGAATGTTATGATCGTTTCGGTAGATTCTGGGAAAATATTTGATAAAAGTGTAACTCCTTATATAACTTTAAGAAGTAGTCAATTCGTAATCGGAGTCAATCTGCTAACTGGCTCCTTTCCACCTTCAGTTTGTAATTGCTCTCTGTGGCATACAGTTGCTTCCTTTCTGCTTGTCTGTTACGTTTTGTCCCAAACACAGTCTAGGACCAGGGATTGCTAGGGCACGTCTGAGAAGGATGAGACAAGGGAATGATGGGTCCCCTGCCCGCTGTAAAGACCTAGAAACATGCTCTTGAACTTTGTGATGTTAGTGCAGATGTGGGTGACCAGCAGACAGAAGACAGCCTAGAATCGGACTAACACTGACCCTGACAGACCGTGAAATGAGACCCTGTCCACGGATGCAGCTGTGAAAATTTGCTCTCTCTGTTGGGAAACTCTGTGTCGGCTCATCCTCAGGTTGATTCTAGGTTGTGAAACTGGCGTGGCATCAGATCCTGTCTAACTTGGGAGGAGGGAAGAGAATCATGGCCAGCGTCAGCCCTGAGGTGGAGGTCAGACACATGCGTCTGCAGCCTTGTACCCATTGGGATGTGCGCTGTCCCTCCGATGCAGTGCAGTGACCACACACAGCTCACAGGCCATGCTCACGATTATGGGCCTTATCCTAAGGAAGTAATAGGGAACAGTTCAGAGTACACTTCTTCGATCAAGACAGCTTCTCAAGCGTTCCTGCAGACATACCTCTCTTTTGGCCCTTGGTCTGGCCTCTGCCCTGTCAGGCAAGTGTTACATAGCTCTTTAGCTCTACTGATATGCCCCCAGAGGGAGCCCAGCCCACCAGAAAGCCTCCTGCCCAAAGGCTCTTAGCTCTCTTCTGCTGTGGACCACAAGGCGCATTGCACCATCTGCTGCCATCCGGTGGGTCTAGGGGCTTCTCAGCACAGGGACCCCTTGTCCGAAGTACAGTCTGCTCCTGGGATTGTCTCCTTTAAGGTCAGCAGTCTGGCAGAACTGACCTATTCCCACAGGGGTCCCACATACCTAACTGGTAGGCTCCTCCTCAGTCCCTCATCTGCAGAGTGCCACCTAATCATTTTGTGAGAGTCACGACACCATGGCTGGAAGGGCCATTTGAAGTAGTTTACTGAACCACACGGTATCCAGGTGTGGCGCTGTGGATCAGTACCGGACTTTGAACCACAAGAGCAGCAGTTTAAACCCACCAGCTGCTCCTTAAAAGCCCTAGACAGGGTCGCTGTGAGTCAGAACTGACTCGATGGCACTTAACAACAAGAACAACCCTACACCGCACAGGTGGACTAGGATTTTAAAATCAGAAGCAAACCTTTTCATTTGGAAGAAAATGCAGGTGGATCTTTCTGAACTCAAGGCAGGGGAATAGTTTTGTTATAAGTCAATCTTAAGATTGATGTCTTACAGTGCATTGGAATTGCTGCACATCATAAAGGGCCGTTCCCCATATGTAACAGAGAACTACTGCTCTGTGGGGTTTCCTGGTGGTAGTTGGCCCAATTTGTACCCCTGTGCAGGGTCCTTATAAGTCAGAACTGACTCAGTGGCACGAAACAACAGGGACCTAACAATATAAAGATGCTTTCACAGGGTCAGTAAGAAACAGACAGAACCATCCACAGGAATTCCCAGAGTACATCTAACTTGTATAATGCCCAGGTCCAGCCTGGTGGTGGTCGGGAGGCTGTCCTCAGGCAGCATTTGGTCTGGGTGGCCAGCAGATGCAGATCAGCGACAGGACAGGTCAAGGGGCAGCAGCATCCCTGCGTGGGAAACACTCAGCTCGCACTGGGAAGAGTCTCATCAGCTACTGGTGGTGGTCTGTCCAGTGCCTACAGTGAACATGTTGTGCTGCCAAGGTGCATCTCTACTCACCTACAAAGGTCAAGATCAGCAAAGGAACTGTTGCCCGGCATGTGTTGAGAAGTCACCAGGCTGCGAAAGAGCTGACTCCTGTGAGCTGGACAGCAGCCACCTGGGGTGGGGGGTGGGTGTGAGTGGATACTATGCTCAGCTTCCTCACCTGTGTGAGGCACCAGACACCTGTGGCCCAGGGGGCAGACTGGATGCCTGCGGAATCTGGGCAGTTCTCATCACAGCATCAGCAAAGGAATTGGCCTCAGCTTTGAAGCCCAAATTCCATGTGGGATTTCAGCCCTCCAGGTCTCAGTGGCTGAAGGGGGCACCTACGTCTGGGGCCGGTATGATTTCCTCTCTGTTGTCATTGGGCATGGGCTTTCCTCACTGAAGAGCCGGAGGGAACCCCTGAGAGACCTGGGCACGGGCTGTGTCGAGGGCCCCTCGCTGAACCCGGGGAAGTTTCCAGCAGGAACTGGGAGAGGCCAGGCCTCAGCAAGCACTGGGCGGGCCATTTCCTTCAGTGACGGTGTGTCTTCTTGTCCTTGCAGATTCTGCTTGGATTCCGCACGACAGACCCGGCAAAGACTGTCCATCAACTGGTCCAATTTTAGCTTGAAGAAAGCCACGTTTGCCGCGCACTGAGGGAGCGCCGGGGGTGGGGGGAGGCAGTGGCCCCCGTGCCTGTAGTCTGTGTGCGGCAGTGACTGCAGCTGTGTCGTTGGAGTTGGACAGCAGCTTCTCACTAGTTCCTCCAGCCGCCTCAGCTCCCGGGCCTGACAGGCGAGTGTGGCCGTACCCGTGGGGCCTGCTGGCACGCACGCTCGCGCCCCGCGCCCCCACCCAACTCACGGAGGGAGGGCCCCGGGCAGGCGGTCTTCCGTCTTCTCCACACCGTCCTATTTGAGAGTGTCCACGTTCCGCTATTTGTGTTTGATCCCCCGACTTGTAGCCGGCTTGTGTAGGATCCCTGCAGAATGAGAAAGTTCAAAACCGAAACTCCATCCAGTACTCACACGTCATCAAGTCTGTTCTAGAGCGTACAACTGTATTAACACGGAGGCCTGCCCGGCTACTTTTTAACATATTGTTAAGTAATATTAAAATCATGTCTTTCTTTTTGAAAGATGGAATACATTAGTATATGGCAGAAGACCTGGTCTGGTTACTTTCTGCTGGGGATGGGGGTGCACAGGGAGGTGGGGGTACACAGCGGCTCCGGGCCACTTCCCCCATGGGTCTCTCCTCCTGAGGTGGTCATCCCAGGTGGTCTCCTAGGGTATGTGATGCCCTCATTGCCCTTTCCAGTGGGTTCTATCCAGGTGCTGAGATGGAGCAGAGGTGGGGTGGGCAACCAAGAATTCATGTGTGTGTGTGTGTGGATGTGTGCACTCGTGAGTGACATGTATCAGTAAATAGGATGTGTGCATTCATGAGTCACTGCGCTCACCAGTGAAAAAACGCAGCAGGTGGGGAAGGGATGTCCAAGCATAAGTTAGATCGACTGCCCAGGATGACCTTGCTGAGAAGACATCACATCCCGACTGCCTGCTGAGGTGTGGGGTGGGGGTGCAGGGGTCAGCACAGGACCACGAGCAGAGGAGGATCTGCAGGGACCATCAAGCAGGTACTTAATGATCTGTGTTTTTGAGGGGAGAGGTTAGTGTGATCAAATAATACACAATTGCTAAGTACTGCTCTTAGGGACCGTCGAGTCGGTTTCGACTCAGTGCTGTTGAGGGTTTCCAAGGAGTAACTGGTGAATTTGAACCGCCGACCCTGCAGTCCAGGGCATTATCCTACAGCACCTTTAAGTGTAAATTGGTACAAAAGGTTTTCAATGAGAAAATAAGCCTCAGTGTACCAGGAAAGTACACCAACAATGGCTCCTGGCTGTGGCCTGGCTCCTGCTCTCCTAGATCACTCCATGGTTCCTGCTGTTCCAGCCTCAGGACGCACTGCCCCTGCAGTGCATGGTTCCCCAAGGGGAAGGCCTGGGCCCAGGTCTTAGCAGGGCAGAGGGTGACAAGACCTGGCTTTTGGAAGTATGTGATAACAGCAACTCTGGATTCCCTGGGTGTGGTGGGAGAGCGAGAGGGTAGGAAGGGCTGGGGGCTCTGTTCTGGGCACGTTGGTCCAGGGTGACAAGCCGACACCCAAGGGAGACCTGAAAGGAAGAGGACACCAGGCTCACTTGATGCATGCCTCTGGAATTTAGATTCCACAGGAACAGCGTGGGACATCTGGACATCAACTGCTATGGAAAGAGGATGAGGGAGTTGGGGGACCAGGCGGGTCCAGTGAATCTGAAAGAAGGTGGTGGGGTTGGGTGAACAGGTCCTGGCAACAAAAGGAGCAGAGAATGGGCCAGCAATGGGGAAAGAGGGCAGGGGTGTGTGCTGGTTTGTGTTTTCTGTTTTCTGTTTTCCAGATGTGAGGAAGAACAGCACATTCCTTACTCGTGGGATGACAGAAATGGGAGAAACGGAGGCCAGGGCATAGCCACAGTTGCAGTGGAGTTCTTGAGTGGACAAGAGTGGCCTGGACCCTTGTGGGCAGCCAGGGCAGGGGAGCAAGTGCCTTCAGGTCCCTGTGCACTTCCCTCTGCTCCACAATGATTCAGACAGTCAAGAGGCTATCAGCCCAGGGGGCCCCCAGCTGCTGAGAGGCTGGTGTTTGGTGAGGGCACAGAAATTTTCTCATCTTGAAACCACCCACTTGTGGTGTTTCAGTGGGAGCCTCACTAGGAGAGCCGGTCCCATCCAGGGACCAGCAGTCTCACTGGGGCAAGGGGCAGAGCTACAGGGTGCACACATGGAGCACTGAAGAGCCACAGAGGGTCCCTTGACTATTTGGGCAAGTACTGATCTGGGCATGGCGTGGGTTAAAATTACATAAATCCTGGGAAAGAATCACCAGAAAGCAATAGGGCTGGGAATAGTTGGTTTTTCCACCAACTATAGAGTGGACTGGTAGCGTAGTGGTTACGAATCGGGCTGTGAAC